AGGAGATTCATGAGCTTCTTATAAGCCCCAAGTTGTGGGCTACCAGTAATTTCCATCATGGTTTTAAGTTGATTTTGGAAGTTATTGGGTCAACCTACTAAAGGCTTGTTTTGGTATAAAGATTCAATGCCTATTATTGATTATGAATGTCCTATATATAGGGAAGAATACAAGCTACAAATCAGGAAAAGATATACATATAAAATACAAGATTATCTCTAAATAAATGGTGAATATCTATTCCTAAATATAGGAGATAATCGGTTGGCTAAGACACCCCCTCAGTTTGAGCGGGCGGAGGACAAACGCTCAAGCTGGATCRAAACGAGTGGAATAACTCACGAGACAACCCCTTCGTGAAAATGTCGGCATACTGTAGAGAAGACGGGACATGGAGAACTCTGATATGTCCGAGGCGAACCTTCTCTCTTACGAAGTGTATATCAATCTCTATGTGCTTGGTTCTTTGATGTTGTACCGGGTTATTTGACAAGTACACTGCTGAAACATTGTCACAGAAGACTACAGAGGCGTGCTGTAAAGGAGTGTGGAGTTCAAGAAGCAAATTTCGGAGCCATGTGGTTTCGGCAACCGCATTGGCAACTCCCCGGTACTCAGCTTCCGCGCTTGATCTAGAGACGGTAGGTTGACGTTTAGCAGACCACGATACAAGGTTGTCACCGAGAAAAACACAATAACCCGATGTGGAACGTCGAGAATCCGGGCAGCCACCCCAGTCGGCATCGGAATAAGCAACCAGATCTTTAGAAGCCRACCGAATGATACGAAGGCCGTAGTTGACCGTGCCTTGTAAATATCGAATGATACGTTTCATAAAGGCAAAATGAGGGTCACGGGGCTCATGCATGAAGAGACAGACCTGTTGAACGGCATATGACAAATCTGGTCGCGTGAATGTGRGGTATTGAAGAGCACCCGCGAGACTGCGATACAGGGTCAGATCAGAAAATAACGGCCCATCCGTGGCACTTAGTTTGGAAGATAAATCAACCGGTGTGGTGCACGGTTTACACGTTGACATAGAGGCGCGAGTAATGATCTCCTTAGCATATTGAGCTTGAGACAGAAAAAGACCGTGTTTGTGGTGAGTAGCCTGGATCCCCAAAAAATGATGTAAGCTGCCCAAATCAGTCATGGCAAACTCTCGTGAGAGGGTGCCAATAATATCGTTCAAAAGACGATCATTAGAAGCCGTAAGAATTATATCATCCACGTAGAGCAATAAATATGCAATGTTAGACGCATCTTGATTATAAACAAATAACGATTGATCACATGTGCTACTGTGAAACCCCTTTGATGTAATGAAAGTGGCAAATCGTGTATACCACGCCCGTGGAGCCTGTTTGAGTCCATAAAGAGACTTCTTCAATCGACAGACATGATTTGGAAACTGTTGATCAGAGAAACCCGGTGGCTGATGCATAAAGACGGTTTCATGAAGTTCCCCATGTAAGAACGCATTCTTTACGTCCAACTGATGAATGTGCCAGGAACGCGAGACGGCAAGCGAAAGGACCGTCCGAATAGTGGCGGGTTTAACCACCGGACTAAAGGTTTCATCACAGTCCACACCCACCGTTTGAGAATTACCATTGACCACCAAGCGAGCCTTATACCGTTCCAATGAACCGTCGGACTTGAATTTGTGTTTGAACAACCATAGGCAACGAATAATGGGTCGGTCCTGTGGGCGGGGAACAAGCTCCCATGTTTCATTAGCCTGTAAGGCCGTATACTCGGTTTGCATGGCATGCAACCAATTAGGATCAGTGAGGGCCTTGGAGTATGAGATGGGAATGGGTGAAAGGGAGGTGGTGTGGTGAACGGCTGAGGTGTGAGAGCGGGATTTGGACCGGGTTGTCATGGGGTGTTGGGTGGGGGTAGGCGTTTTGGGCTGAGTAACGGGTGGAGGAGTGGGCTGAGGTGGGACGGGCTGTTGGTGAGTGGTAGGTGCTGCATTGGGAGGTGGACGGGGTCGGCGGGAATATGTTAAAGGATAAAAGGCAGCAGCCGGAGTAAGTGTGGGGTGTGGTAAGGGCCTTTGGAAGGTAAAACCGGGTGGTGGGGAATCGTCCAAAAAGGTATACGAGGCGGGTGATTGGGGAATGGTGTAGGGAAACACATGCTCATCGAAGGTCACATGTCGGGATATGTGTACTTTGCCCGTAGTAGGGTCAAAGCAACAGTAGCCACGAAAGTCGGGTGGGTACCCTAGGAAAATACAACGCACAGACCTATGGTGGAGTTTATGGGGTTGGGTGGCAGATGTATTGGGATAACATGCACATCCGAACACTCGTAAGTGTTCATAATCAGGGTGGCGGAGGTAAAGAGCAAATGTAGGGGTAGAAAAGTTGAGGCGTTTAGTTGGTAAAATATTGTGAAGGTAAGTGGCAATGTGTAAGGCTTCTACCCAAAATGATGGAGGCAGATTTGCATGAATTAAGAGAGCGCGAATGACGTCATTTAGTCGACGAATCATTCGTTCGGCTCGGCCATTTTGGGAGGAGGTTTGAGGGCATGAGAATCGGAAGAGTAAGCCATGTTGATGTGCAAAAGATTTGAAGGCTAAATTGTCAAATTCACCCCCTAAATCACATTGGAAAGTTTTTATTTKGCGGTGAAATTGGGTGAGGATTAATTGGTGGAATTTGGCGAAGGTTGGAAAGGTTTCAGATTTATATTTCAGGGGATAAACCCACACAAAGTGTGAGAAGTTGTCAATTAAAACCATGTAATACTTATATCCTGTTTGACTTTGTATTGGCGAAGTCCATAAATCGCAATGAATAATATCAAAAGGAGCAAAAGTGAATGTATTAGAGGAATAAAACGGCAATCTTTTACTATTGGATAGTTGACAGRAATTGCAAAKATGATGACRGTTGTCCTTATGACATTGAAAATTAAAATTGCGATTTAAAATATCTAGAAYTTGCGCCCCGRGATGCCCTAAACRATTATGCCAAGGTAGGTGGTGGGAGGCAAGAAACGTGGCTTGAGGCGGCAGTTGAGGAGGTGTGAACGTGTAGAGACTCCCGGTGCTATTGTGGCGAGAAAGYGTCTTCTTAGTTTTGAGGTCCTTCAAAGAAAAACCAAACRGGTCAAATTCGACAGACACTTGATKATCTCGAGTAAAACGTCTAACGGAAATAAGATTTTTAATTATGTGGGGGCTGTAAAGGATATTTGGGAGGATGTAGGTTCGGTTGGGTAAAGGGTGAAAGCCCGTACCTGATCCGTGAATTGGTAACAACATGCCATTACCGACCAAAATATTACGACAAACAGGAGAAGAATCAGGGAGTAAAATTTTACCTTGGTCGTTTGTGACGTGGGCCTCGGCTCCAGTATCCAAAACATCTGAAGTCCAAGCTGTGTTGGAAGAGTTGACCTGCAAATTGGCCATGGCAGCACTTAAATCTGATGGACTCAAAGGGTTGTAAACAGGCTGTTGATAGGGAAAGAACTGGGCCGGAGTGTAACCGGCAAAGTGAGCTTGAGGAGAGCCGGCATAGTGAGCCGGAGGAGCAGACTGTGGACTGGGCTGCCATTGCTGCTGGGTCGGGTATGGAYAGGGARGAGGCGTCCACYAAGCCCAGTTAGGAAAAGAAGGCTGTTGCCCCCGCCACGAAGAAGTGTTCTGCTGTTGGCGGCCTCCCCGGCCCCTGCCCCGACGATTGAAGGAGCCACCGCGACCCCGGCTGCCACCGCGTCGTTGAGAAGAGTAATAAGATCCATTAGGTTGTTGAGTAGAGTTCAGCAAAGGGTTGGCAGATGGCGGCGCTGTTGGAGCGGCAAGAACCGTCGTTTGGGACCCTTTTTGTGCTTCGAGTCTAATGACTTCATCATTAAGCATGGAGACAGCCTGGTCCCAATCCATGCCCTGCTGGTTGATCAAARAGGCTRTGGTGTTGTATTCGGCTGGGAGTCCACGGACAAGTTGAAGAACGAGCCGCGATTCGRAAACAGGCTGATCAACATCGGAGAGCTGATTTGCCAAATCAGTCAGTTTTKGACAGTAATCGTCAATGGAGGAGYAGGCTATGAGGGTGAGATTRCAGAACTTAGTCTCGAGTGCYGCAGCGCGAGACTTTTTGTTGCTCAAGAAGATCTTTTCGAGCTTTGTCCAAGCCGTTAAGGCTGTTGCAGTCGRATCCAGGATACGATTGAACAAATCATCAGAAACTGTGCTGTAAATCCATTGAAGGACCAACRCATCAAGTTCTTTCCACTGTTCATATTGTGATGTGTTAGCGGCTGTAGGGGCTRAACCATCGATGTGATCAGAGACTTTGTACGCAACAACATGGAGGCGAAAGAGTTTAACCCAGGAAGAATAGGTTACCTTCGTTCCGTCCAATGTGCGAATCTTGGTTTGGATGTTCGTAACTGAGTACGCCGGGTGGAGAGAGACTTCTTTAGTAGATGGTGCGGCGGTTTCGTTGGTCATGGTGGCGCAGCCGGAGGAATCCGGTTAGGGTTCAGAGATCGGAAAGAAAAAAAAAAAGGAGGAAGAGAGATATCAGAACCGTAGCTCTGATACCATAAAGGCTTGTTTTGGTATAAAGATTCAATGCCTATTATTGATTATGAATGCCCTATATATAGGGAAGAATACAAGCTACAAATCAGGAAAAGATATACATATAAAATACAAGATTATCTCTAAATAAATGGTGAATATCTATTCCTAAATATAGGAGATAATCGGTTGGCTAAGACCTACTACTTTGGGCTTGGGGTGTTACAGCTCAAATGTAGCAAATAGCCAGAGTTCTATAGAGATGTTAACATGCTAAAATCCAGCCTACTTATAATTCCTATGTTTGAAACCATCATGATCATAGGAAACTTAATTTTAGAAGCATTAAGTGTGTATATGAGGTTACCAAGTGTCCTACCTTGTGACAACACAGTTTTTTTTTGGTTTCGTCAATGTTGTTCCAGTAAAGATGAGACTTATTTTATCCCAAATGGAAAAAGATGAGCGTAGCACACTCATGCGTGGACCATTAGCAATTGAGGTGAAGCTCACAACTAGCAAGGAAAATGATCTTAGTAGTGACTAGTACATAAGAGTTCCAACTGAATCTTGCAAGGACTCATGCAAGTTTCTCTAGATACACCAGAAAAAAGCTAAAGAAGTGTTATCCTTTTCTGAGATCATTACCAACATTGACGTCGTACCTCTCTAAATGAAGGAATAGGTCATGAGAACCATACTGGGATGTTCTATTTGCCCGTTGAAAAGGTATGCTTACATGAATCTATATTCACAAAAATCAAATATTGACTTTGATACTTAACATCTTTGGCCACATGTCTAATACAAGTCTATATGATTTTTATAGAGTTCCTTTGCCCTTTCTTGTATTATGTGTGTATTCCAACAAGAGACATACACAATCTGAAAAGTGGAAAGGACCATGTTGAAGCTTTGATGGAAATTAGATTTGGGAATTTGTCTCTATTCCCCAAGGAGAGAGATTGGTAATTTGTAAATCTGGATTCAGTCAAACATAACCCAGATGGGTTGGTAGAAATGTTTAAGCGCGTCTTGCGCATTACATATCGAATCCTGGTACGATGAAACTTTTACCCCAGTAGCTAAACTGGCTAGAAAAAGAATCTTGATCTCCTTTCTAACTCGGTTTGGGAGTTGCAGCATCTGGATATCAACCATGTTCCCCTCCATAGTGATCTAAAATACAAAGTGTATATGAATATCCTTTTGTCTTTGCCAACAATAAGACAATCGAGATGGTGTGCAGATTGCAAAGGTTATTAAATAGGTCAAGGCAGTCTCCTCGAGCATGATTTATTTAGGTATTGAACTTGTATCTCAATGTGATATCTTTCTATGACATAGTTTTGTGTCTTGGCTAAAACAAGAATGCTGTATTATTAGCCTCTTGTACACCAATGAATGCTAATGTGGAACTCCAGGAAGAATATAGTAATCTGGTAGAAAATGGATTATCAACTGCTTGTGGGTGTATTAATTTACTTGTGAAGTCCCCAACCTTATATTAGATTTGTTGCAAGTTTTGTAGGTCAATGTATGCATGACCCATACTCGTATAGCTGCTGCCAGAACTCTGAGGGATGCTTTGAGAAGATGCATATGATTTTCTTCACATGGACATCTCTCTGTTTTCTTATCCTGTACAGATACAGAATATAAGGGTTGTCATGATGAAGCCATGACGGGAATTATACCATAGGATACTTTGTTTTAACTTGTGAGACTCTTGTCTCTAGGCAGTCATAAGCAATAGGATCAAGTGAAATCAGAATTTAGTGCTATGGAACTAGGTATGGGCCAGTTACTATGGATAAGGGGCCTAGTGAGAGATATGGTTGTTTGCCGAGAACTGATGATGTTTTGTAGAAACAATAGCTCTACTATCAATATTATTCATGTTCCAATCTAATAATCAGAGATAACATAGTATTGACATGGATAGGTACCTTTTCAAAGAGAAATGGAAGCTAAACCCATTTCAGTACATGTGTTGAGGATCTTCTTACTGATCTTTGGAGCAAGCTATTTATGTACAATATTGCTGACTGAAGTTATGCATAAGAGATATCTTTGCATCAGTTAGAGGGAGAGTGTTATATGTTCAAGTAATGTAATTTATTTATTTATTTAGTCTTATATGCAACTGCATTGATGAATTCACGTATTATTGCTTTTCCCATATATCCTCTACATAACAAGCATTGAAGTGGTTATTTTTCTTTGGTTTGGTTGCTGCTGTTGACAGTTCACTTTATCGATTCCAACTCTTGGGATCTATGTGGACATGTTGTGATGCAAGTTGCACACTATTTGTGCATGATGTTTCATTTCAAAAATTGCCTACTCTGTAGTTTCAGTCTTTCTTCTGTTTTACTATTAATGGCCTTGGAACTTAGTTTCTTCTTCAACTGTTGGCGACTTCTCTTTATATGTTTTGAGTTTTCTTGTTATAGCACGTACAAGAATTACACGCCTATATTGGGAATAAATAAGGCAAGTTAGTAAAACAATCTCTAAGAGATACAGAATTGTAGATCTTTTTATATGTGTAAGTTCTATGAAGTTGACTATACTTGTATCTTTATATCAAATCTTCAAGGGATTCAATTATGTAATTTCTAATAACAAGCCGTCTTGTACATGCATGATTGGTTAATTGAGCTTATTTATTGTTTGAGCTTGGATGGTTCTGCATCCTGCTTAAAACAATTACAGCTGAGAGCTGACTATATCAAATTAGTAAATTATTTTCTTATATGTTTCAGCTTGGTAATACTTTTTCTCTTCTGGATCTTGTGTGTATGAAGTTTCAGTTAAAATAGATAATGATTTGTCATGTCATCTCTGTGGAAAAATTATGTCTTTTTCTACTTGTATTACATTTTGTTTCCATCCTATGTCGCACTGTATCTTTTTGTTTTTCCTTCTTGTCTCATGGACTTGTTAAGCGAGTCATCAACAGAGTGCTAATTTGTATTCCTGTTGTGGCTTGTATAGATGATATTAACAGCGCTATGGGAGTTGAATGCAGAAGGTGGGTCTAACGAGGAGGCCATTTCGGACTTCATTGAAAAGGAATACCATGAATTGCCATGGGCACATGCTACCATGCTAAATCATCATCTGAGAGATCTTTGCATGAAAGGCAAGATTGTTATGACGTGTGATAGATGCTATCTACGCTGTTCGTCGATCACCAAACCGGCACCTAGTCCTAGTCCTTGCCACCACCTTTGCCTCAATGATGATAGCTCTTGTTCAAGCCCTTATTCTAGCTCCTCAGCTAGCCTTTGCTCTAGTCCCACTTCCTCAAGCTCTAGCTTTTGCTCGGGTCCTCCTTACCAAAGACACAAGAGACAATTGAAGAGGAAGAGAAAGAATATTAAGGAAACAGGGTGTAAGATGGTTCAGGGAAGGGGAAGG